CTTATTTTTTATTAATTCTTAACTTTTTATCTCATTTCTTCACTTATGTAAAAATCATAATAATTAATAAAATTACATATTCTCTCACTTTTCTAATTATGTACCTAATAAATTTATATTTTTATTACTTTTCAATTCCATAATACTAATAATTCTCAATTATTATTTTTATTTTCAATGAAAGTAATATGTTTTTAATGATCTCCAACTAACGGTAATTTTTTCTAATTTCAATAAAAGGTTTTCATTTAAATATTTAAGTGCTTTAGGCATTTAAAAGTATTGAACCGCCCAAGGATATGATGATTGCATAGAAAATGCTATAATTAGGCTCAGATGCAATTTAATGCTGTAGATTCCTTTATTTTAGGTCATGATCAATTATAAGTTTGGATCTAATCTAGTCCAACCTTTGTATATTAGTCTTCTTTTTTTTTTTTGGTGGATATTAGTCTTCTCTATAAGATGGAAATGAAAAGCTTGCATATTAGCATGTGAAAAGGAAACTGGCTTTTATGTTTACATAATTATGTAATTATAAATAAATAAAATTATTATTAAAATTATTATCGATACTATACCGATTAGTATTTTCATATTTTTTTAAAAAATATTACGTATTCATAATACCAATGTGTTTCGATATATCATTTTAGATTTATTGATATTATATAATATTTATATATATATATATACCCACACACATAAAAATAAGTTTCTATTACATATATTTATAGATTCGTACTTATTGACATCTTAATAGGACTGAATTACGTTGAAACGACTAATGCAAACCGGTAGAATCTTATATGAAAGGTGAAACGATACAATAGCATTAAGTGTATGAATATTTTTCAAAATTAGCATGTATTGACCGGTACGATATCGATTAATTACGATTAAATTTAAATCATTTTGTACTGACATAAGAAATGAGGTGAACATTACTCTAACGTGACAATTTTACCTAATATCATGATTTTGTATATCAAATTTATAACTGACATGATGGTAAATGCTAATTTCTCAAATTAAATAGGAAATATAGGTTGGTCTAAATTAATCCCATGGCTTCAATTTCTATTCCCATGTTTCTAACAAGAAGGAAGAGTACCTCCTCCACCTGTAATTTTCACCCAGGAGGAAGCAAGAAAGGCCCGAAAACAGCATAACGGAAAGCAACAAAAACGCTCCCATGGTTTTCTGCAACAACGTACTGCAAAAGTCTTAACAAACAAGAAAACCGAAACCCTCCCAGCAAAGCAATCAGAAGAGAAAAGGCAAATAATGTATATGAAGAGTAAAGCAAAGAAACTACAAAGGGTAAAGGCAGGCAGGCAGGCAGGCAGGCAGGTAGAAGGGCCTCAAGGAAAGAAAGCTGTGCCTGTGACACAACACCCTTTTCTCCTTAATGTCAAAGAGCAATTCCTTCACGCAAACGAGTAGAAAAAGCAAAAGGCGATAAAAGGGGAAGAAATTTTACCACGAAACGTGGGCGTAGCCAACTAGAAGGAAAGAGAAGAAATGAAACACGGAATCACAAGGCAGGAGCAGAAAGGAGGGGTCTCTGGTCTGCCTCTCCTGACCACCTCTGTGTCTGAGACTGCAACGTCTTCTCGTTTCTTGTTTGCAAATTTCAATGCTGCATGACTCATCATTCATTTAATCAGCTAAACCCTTTTTCAAATTTAGACTCACTACTTCTTTTTTTTTCTAAGAGCAGACTATTACTACTTCTAGAATAAATATAAAAATAACTACGGGGATATTGAGATGTGTTATAATTGAATATTCTAAATTACATCATTCGATCTGATTGATTAAATAAGATTATAAATTAAATTTTACTTAAACTCGTGAAAAATGGTAGTTTTATAACTCATCTTACTTAATTGAGCTAAATAATATAAAGTAATTGATATCTCTAAATATGATTAAAATGATTGATTTGAACCGATGAAATTTCGTATAAAAGGTGAAATGAAACAATAAACATTATGTATATAGATTTTTTTAAAATTAATATGTACCGATCGATATAATATGGATAATTATGATTAAATTTAAATCACTTTATGCCCATATAATGGATGTGTCATATTCTAATATATAAAATGCAAATTCCATAGAATGTTGTACCAATTCTTACTCTTTATAAATTTTTTTTTTTAAAAAAAAAATTCTTACTGACTTGACTGTTGAAATTGAGTGGGAAGTCAAACCCTGCTCTGTTTTATTACCTTTGGTTTTTGCATGTGCCCCGTTTGAACACTAATGTTGAAACCACAGTGTCAGATTTTAGCAAAACAACAACATTACAACTAGTGTTAATGAGAGTAAATGGCATACCTAACACTTTGGAATTCCATGACAATGGAAACAGTAAAGCCCTTCGATATTGAATAAAGGGCAACATTTTGTCTTGGTCATTACATTCAATTCATGATGGAGACATTCCCGTAAGTGGAGAATTAGGACTTTAGGACAGACTTTGGTACCTGTAGTTATCCATACTTATGTTTTGTTGGAGTAAAGTAATGAATGCAAAGTCAAAATTTGAAGTAGTTGCTGAAAAAGGCCATCAAAGTTAGATTCATGGGCGAGAGTCTATTCCTTAATTAGTCAACATTCTAGACATAACCTTTGCATGATCTAGTTTGTTCCGTAAACAAAGTCATTTCATGATCACAATCAGGTGACGGATTCAAAATTTTACATAAAGAATAATTTTATAAAAATTAAATCATATTCTATAATAATAAAGAAAAATTAACAATTGATGCACTGCCTTGCCTTGGGTTCATCTTGTCACCCACGTCAATTCAAAGCTTTTGACTTAAGATGTTACAAAGTTGAGAGTAATTAATTAAGTTAGATGCATGTTGAATTGCGGCCTCCTATGTATAGGAACCGGGCAATTAATTTAGGATTAGGCCGAAGCTCCAAGGCATTAAGCTTTTGACCATTTTTGTGGAAGTGGGACAATGGAAAACGTGTAGTTGCAGGGTCAAACCCCGTGTTTCCTGTGGATGCTATTATTCATTTGGCCTAAAAAAGTCTTAAGTTCAACCTCGCATTTTTGGCATTCTTTAACCTTATTAATCAAAATTCATTACACCAAATTATGTTCATTGCTTCCTTTTTTTTCTTTCTCTGTTTTATATTTTAATGTTTCCCTATATATGGTATCTTTGCTTGAAATTGTATTTTTAAAGCCTTCAAATATTACTTAATTTCGGCTTATAAATATTTGACATAATATTTGAATTTTTTTTGAGTTTTTCATAAAAATTTAAATAAGGTTTTATTTTTATATTATGTTTAATCAAATTTTTATAATTTTATTTTTGATCAAATACATCTTTATAATTCATAATTAATTAATTATTATTAATTAAAATAGTATTTATCATTATATGTTCATATTACTTTGACAGTATGCTGAAGTGAAAAGTAAAAAATATCACATGATTATATTTTCATCTTACATTAATATACTATATAATTACTCATTAAAATGTGTTAATATGTTAAATTTTATATAATAATAAGAAATATTTTTATTCATAATACTTAATGAATGATTAATTATAGAAATTTATTTACTTTAAAATAAAATAAAAATAATTAAAAATATTGTCATTTGAAATATTCAAGAAATATTCTTTTCGAATTTTGAAAAAGTAATGAAGAATTGGTACAGAACATTATTTATTGAGGAAGAAAGAAGTAGGATAGCAAGCAAAGCAGGTCATGGGTTTGAAATCTTGCCCTCTCCATTATTAATACAGCAACACTCCTCGCGCTGACTCTATACAATCTCTGACAATTTCTCTCCCCACCAACACGTTGCCCCATAACAGAAGCCACCCAAATCGAAACCCAAGCTTTAAAACTCCTCCTTCTCCACCCTATACAAACACCCAATATATCACTCTGTTCTCTTCCATGGCTTCCCCTTCTAACACCACCACCACCACCACCATGCACCACCCCGCACACCCAACCTCATCCAATACCACCTTCGTCCAAGCCGACCCTTCCACCTTCCGCATTATAGTTCAGCAGCTCACAGGCGCCCCCGACGACCCTTCAGCTCAAAGGCTCCCTCTCACACACCCAGCTCGGCCAGGCGCTGCCACCGATATGGGCCCTAAGAAGCCTGTTTTCAAGCTCCACGAACGTAGACAAGCCATGAAAAAGCTCGAAATCAAGCTGAACAGCAACAACATTGGCAAAAACGAATGGCCTTCGGATTTCTTGTTCGTCAGACAAAGAGGGTTCTTGGTTTCGCCGGTTTCGACGTTGGACTTCTGGCCGCGCGTGAGCCCGACGTCGCGCGGCGGAAGTGAGAGTACGAGGTCCCCATTTGAGGAAGAAGAGAGAGCTATTGCGGAGAAGGGATTTTATCTGCATCCGAGCCCTTTGAGTACGCCTAGAGGAGGAGCTGAGCCTGAGTTGTTGCCTTTGTTCCCTTTACATTCACCTAGGGAAAGCGAGCATAATTATGATGATGATTCTTCCTCCAAATGATTTGTTTATTAAGAATTAGATGAGATTTTCAATGGATTTTAGTGTTAATTATCTTCGGTTTTCTTCAAGTAGTTTTCAAAGTTTTTTAGTTTTTAGGAGCTAACAGAAAAATCAGATATGGCTGCTGATGCTTTGTCTGCCTAACATGTTTGTTACGCGCTCTCTTTGCGCTTGCTTCGGCCCAAATGGATGCACTGCGCAGTTGATATGATGACTTTTCCTTCTAAATTATTACTACGGCTTCAAGATTCCATTTTCTTTTCTTTTCCTATATATTTCTTTCTCAATAAAATCCCATTTTCTTATTTTTACTTTTACGGTAAACAGTTAAAATTTTATTCAAAAATTATATGAAAAAAATCATTTCTAGATAAACTAACATTTTAGCAAAATAAAAATATAATCATACTTTGTAGAAGAGAATTATTTTCATTTTCATATGATGCAATTTGTCAAGGATCTTGTATAAATGGACGAGTTTTAAATTTATTTAATTAATATATTTTTTAAATTAAAAATATAAATTCATGATAAATAATTTAAGAGTGTATCATTTTTTATTCATGAGATCTTTATTTTGGATAATAAGGTCTGGGTAGTTTCGAATAATTCGTATAATAGGAATATTTTCTTTCGAGTATTTTTTTTGAATTAAAAATATAAATTCGATTTAAAAATGTTATGTAATTTTTAAAAAGTTAAAAAATTAATAATAAAAGAAGGAGTGGGAAAGTGGCATTCTCTACCCCTGTGAGCATTAATTGTAAGGCAAAGCTGGGTGGGAGAGCCGTTGGATTTAATGGAGGGGAGCAAGCGGCGCCTTTGTCAGACATTGCAACGGATAGGATTCGTCCTTATTACAGTAATGCTAATAAATAACAGCATATCCAAACGTTATTGTAGTAAAAGCGACTGCTACAAATCTAACTCAGTCTGAAATTTAGGACTTTATATCCTCACCTTGTGCTCGTATTTCTCAAAACCTTATTTTAATAATTTTATTAAATCTTCACCGTCCATTTCAAGATCAACGTCTGTCATAACTTACGTGTTCCTTCTGCAATGTTATTTACCAAGTAAAAAATACAGTGACTGTAATTTGGGCACGTGATATTATTCCTTTGACCTTTTGCTTTGATAAAATGGAAAGAAATAAAATACGTGATATTACTTTTATTACACATAAATAAATTTCTCACCAGTGGTTTTAATGGCAAGGAAAGGTGGTTGGGTTATTAATAGATTTCACTACTCAGTGTTTTTCTGTCTTAAATATGTCGTGTAATTATAAATTGGTAGGTGAATATAAATATAATATAATTAAATAATTATATTAAAATTTTAAATACATATATAAATAAATTATTAATAACTATATAAGTAAATATAAATACGATATAATTAAATAGTCGTGTCAAAATCTTAAACATATATATGAATAAGTTAAATAAATATAACATTTATTTAAGGTGTAGGGTTAAATTTTATTTGATAGGGTACGATTTATATACACGATTAACATGATTGATCATGATTAATGTAACTAAAATGATTAAATTAAAATATATACAATTAAAATGTTTTTCTATTTTTCAAATTTATAATAAAAAGTCATAAATATCAAAATATTTATCAAATATAATAAAATTTAATATCAATAAATCTTAATTATTATAAAAATATTAATATTTATATATATCAATTAATAAATCTTAACCATGTACTAAATATGTTTAAATAAATAGATAATAAATGGATTATGGGTTATATAGGTGCACGATAACTTGACTAATTAAGCGTGTTTAACATGGTTAAGATGTATTTGTGTCTTAATTGTATTGACGCGATTAATACATGAAACATAATAATCTTAAACCCAAACTCGTTTAAATCCGTACCATGTTCGTGTCATATTGTTTACAAAATTGCTAATGCTAGTTATTAGTATATTTTTTCATCTTGGTTTGGTAAACCCCAATTTGTTTGAATTATAGTAGCTTCACTATTTTGATTTTCTTGTGGTTTTCAATTATTTTAGTATCAGCTCAAAGAGTCACGTCAAGCATTTTAAACAAATTGTTTTAATCCCATATCAAGTAGGTAAGGAATGTAGAGAAAGTATATAAGCGTAGATATTACATATCTTATTAAGTTAACTTTTGATCGTAAATTTTATTACCTCTAATTGAACAAATTTGGAAGAAAAATAAAGAAATTTAAACTTATAAATGGTTGAAACTTCCCATTTTTTCAAATTAAACAGTAACAAGTTAAAATCAAAATTTCAAATAATTTAGCATATATAGTTTATTTATCTCTCTTTTGTATATAAAAATGATAAACTTGAATTTTAGGCTTTGAAGAGTAATTAATTATCAAAGACAAGACACATGTGTCTGTTTCACTTTTCATTAAGGTCAATCTAAATTATATCTACTTTTTTATTTAGAAAAAGGTGACATAAACTAATTCAAAATCATAAGCCAAAATACTAATAGCCCTCCCCACCCTCACTCAATTATTAGGTGAAAGTATTCGATCAGTCTTTATGCTCATTGATTTTATTTAATTTAATCTCTATATTTAAAATCAAAATAATTTAATTATTTAATTTTAAAAATTATTTTAATTTAATTTTTTCTCTTAACAGCATTTAATTTTGTTGTTAAAAAACACGACGTTAGTATTGATGTGACATATTTTGATGATATGATAAAAAGGTGTGACTGACATACTCACATGGCATTACTTAATTCTAAAAGCATTATATTATGATCAAATTGTTATTCAAGACAAAAAGAAGTACCATGCATAATTATAATGTATGGTACTCTTGTTGACTTTGGCTCAAAGGGGAAGGGAAAAAAGTGCAAATTACCTTTGAATTTTGAAGGTGGGCATAGAACTTAGTTATACATGATTTGGAAATTTACGTCTAATATAAGGAGGCAAAAGAGTTATCTTATTGTATGTATTTATGTGATTAATAAAATTTTTTATTAAATTTGATGTCACAAATTAAGCGATATCAACTTAATCGATAAAATTATAAAAAACAAAAAAAATTGTAATTATAAATATAAAACAAATGATACACATGTTTTTTCTCTTTTTTAAAAAAATCAATTTTTTTTTGCATATCAAGAGAAAAAATTATGTACTTTTTAAAATAATTTATTTTCTTTCAAAATAAAATTTTCTCTTTTTTTATTTTTAAAACACTATTTTCTTGAAAGTAGTTGAGAGATTAATTAAAACATTGTTTTCTTTTTAATTAAAACAATATTTTCCTTTTAAATTTTCTTGAAAAAATTAAAGTGATTGGCTTGACGACTCATATATATGAAAGTAGTTGAATGGTTTTTTTCTTCACTTTTACTTGAAATACAAGTGTTTCTTTCTTTTTCCTATTTCGAAGAAACAATGACATAATACTATGTAGCTGCCTATTACCTTAGTATATGTAGTGAGCTAATGTGTTCTTCGTATCACGAATCTAATCTTCTCATAATGTTTAATAAATACTTTCTCATTAACGATTTCTAAACGTATGCTTTACGTACTCGATATATATAGGAGTCTTGATAATTCAATACGGACACATGAAAAGTTCCAGAATTTCCCTCTTTAAGATACTTTCTTTTGAGTTATATATAAACCCTTTTCATGTACTTTCTCTTTTTAAAAATTGAGTGGTTAAAATAATAACACTTATAAATATCGGTAACCAAAACATTATAACGCAAGAATTTTTCAAAAATTAAAAGATTAAAAAGGTAATGTAATTAAATCAAAATGATTATTAATTGATACTACTCAATGAGTAGATCTATAATATGAAAAAATAATTGAAAATAGATATTGCATTCATACAAATTTCAGCCAATAATTGATGAAGGGAGAATAAATTTATCATAATTTTCACTTAAAGCATCTATTTAAATAAAATATTGAAACAATTTTTTTTTCAAATTTTGTATATATAAATAACTATCACTTTTTATTTTCAATTATCATGTAATTATCTTTAATTGGGGAACTTCACCAATTTCACTTTACGTTAATTTTTATTGTCCTTTGTATCTTTTAATAGAGTTAACTCCTCCCTTTCATAAATGGGAAATATTATCGTCTATCAACATTAATTAAGGTGATATTATATTAAAGAATACGTAATTAATATATTATTTTTTCTTAAATTTGGTGAGAATAACGTATTAAATGAAAATATATTTCCTAAAATAGTAATTTATTAACCTTTAACCATATATATCCCCTCATTGATGAAAGTATCCATCCTAATTTCTTAAACTACCTCAAAGCTGTATCAATTAACTAGTCTCGTCATATTAAAAAGATGACTCTCTAAAGTCATAGCAATTAGGGTTTCATAAGAATTTAGGTTTAAATCATTTGAGATGAGAATCAAGTTATTATACCAACATAAAGATTTGCTAGTCATTACAATGTTTTAACTTCTTATATAGTTAATATTTCACTAAAGCAACCATTAATTTACAATCTATTAAAGATTATTATCCGGTACACGAACGAAATATTTTTTTTATTTCAATGTATAGAATAATATACCATTTATAAATTGAACATATACAAATTTAAAGACAATTCAAAACTGGATTCAACGACCTACTTTTTGATACGTGCAATATTAGCGTACACAATGAGAGGTACCCTTTTTGAGTTTCTACTTTATCTTACATGCAAATTTTCTTAATATTGTCTTTTACTTTATATATTACACTAATATACGTGTAAACCGTAGATATCCAATGTGTTATCTTTTGCCCCATACCATTAGAGGTTGATATATAATTTCACAATATTAACGAAACAATAAGTCATTTTTTATTAACTTGAACCTCTATATATATAATCAACATAAATTGAATATCAAATCTAACGGTTAAATTATTAAATACGAAAGAATATGAAGATCAATAATTGTTATACCGGTGCAAATTTTAAATCACAATGCCTTGTAATTTTCTTTTTCTTTAATTTTTATTGATTTTGTACCCAAAAATAGAAAGTTTTTTATTTAGGAGGAAATCTCATAGCAATTAATTAAATTGACAAGTTTCTTCAATAACAAGTCAAGCTCATGCATTGATTCCCTAACAAGGACCATCATTATAAATAGGGGCTAAGGAGGGTATTAACCCTAATTCAGAACATTGCTCTCAAATATTTCTTTGATAAATTAATTGGAATCTCCGAGGAAGTTGCTCTCTCTGTTGAGAAACATGGCTTTGGCAAACAGGGGAGTAGTGTTTTTCATGATGATAATGGTGGCTCTTCGTGGGTTATCAATGGCTGCTGTCTACAAGGTTGGCGACTCAGCTGGTTGGACCATCTTGGGCAATGGCCAAGAATACCAAGACTGGGCTGCTACCAACAAGTTCTTCGTTGGTGATACTCTTTGTAAGCCTCTCCTTTGTCCAACTTTTCCCCTTCACTTTCTTGTTCAAGCAGTGCCTTCATTCATTTTTATATATATATTATGATTGTGACTTAATGGTTGCATGGCTGTAGTTTTCGAGTACAACACCCAATTCCACAACGTGAAGCAAGTGAACGTCGAAGATTTCAAGTCATGCAACCCAGAGAATCCGATTGCGACGTACGTCGACGGCTCCGACAATATCATCCTGAAAAGCTCAGGCGAGTACTATTTCTTGTGTGGTTTTCCAGGCCACTGCCAAGCTGGTATGAAGCTTCACGTCACTGTTAACTCAGCAGCCAATTTGCCTCACAACCCCACTCCAACTCCTCTGGCTAGTAACGTTGCTCCATCTCTCTATGCTTCCAAGCTCAGCTGCCTGGCTATGGTCGTCGCTGCTGCCACCCTCCCATTCTTCCTTCTGCTGGTTTAGGGGGCTACCGTTTGTTCTAATATTACATGTTGAAGTACATGACAATCAAGACTAAATATCATCTCTCTGAAATCATTTCTCCTCTTGGGTTTATTTGGTGGCCTATAATGCTTAAGCTTCGAGTTTATAAGCGTATGGATTTTAATTAGCATTACAACAAATTATTAATTTCACCTATATATATCCAACTCTATTTAGCCTTGTTGGATGAAAATTCTATCAAATATTCTAACAAAGAGTTATGTTTGTTGGACCTTAGGTGTGGATGTATATTTGATACATGCATATTAAATTTTTTTTCCAAGTTTTTTATTTTATATTTTTACTCCAACTTAATTTCATATCTTGTTTATGGGATATGGATTGGATATGAATATTTCCAAAAAATAATCATGTAATAAAAAAAAGTATTAAAATATGATGCTTCAAATTTTCTTCTACTAGAAAAGGAGGAAATAAAGCACCACAGAATACAATACCCTTCTTAGTAATACTGCCTGTCAAGAGTGTCTTGTGCCTGATTTCCATATCTACTGTTATATAAAAATAAGAAAGAAAAAGAAAAACTCTACTGCTTAGCACTAACTCCCAAATTGAATTATGAGGGGATTATGCTTCAAACCCCAAAAGCATTTGAGCAAGTGCTTGAAACATACTCTAACTTGTAAGCATCCATACTTGATGCAAATAGCCAGATAAAATCTTGTGTAGGTAAATCTCTTTACCCTTTGTCGTATAATTAATCATCTATTAATCATAAGAGTTTAGTTGACTTAAAATAGAAAGTACCAAAACTACTTAAATTTTTTTCAATAATTCAGAAGGTTTTTCAACGATATGAGTGGATATTACAAAAAAGGAAATACAAAAACTACCAATTGGCCTTTTTATTGATCAAACAAAATCTCAGAACCACTTTACAGAGATTATTAGCACATACCAAGCGGATCTCAGAACAAATAGGAACTAAGACCAGATTGACCAAACTTCTCTCTAAGACTGCTTTTCCATCCATTTCTGCCTTGCTATAACAAATAAAACCGTAAAGATTAAAAAAGGGTGACACTTTCCTTGTTATTTTCCGCGTTTTGGCTCAGCGTCTCTCTTCATCTAACAGAAGCACAGATTGATTGCTGATTGTATAGCCCTGTTACTCCATTTGTAAACTGCTGCCTGTTTCTTCTCCGTTTCGTTACTACTGTGAAGCCTTCGCCATCCCCGGTTTTCTTTTTATTTACATCTGATGCTTTAGGTTCTGCACAGCTACTGGGTCGAGGATCCAAGTCCTTTCCTTCATGGCCATGAAGGATTTTTATAATTGCACTGTCATTTGTAACTGCATCTGAAGAATTTTCAGTACAGTTATGCCTCTTGTCACTTACTGCAGGCTCACTGGTAGGATTCATGTTCTGCTTGACTGACCTGACAATGAAGCTAAGCAAAATCTGCCTTGCTAGCTCTGATTTCTCCTCAGAGCAGCTCTTTTTCATCTTAGAATCTTTAACTTCCTTAATGGACTTCTCATCAGCTTCCTTCACTTCTGTGTTCTTAGCTTCATTCAAAGAGTTTAACTCATCTGAGACACGTGAATCAGCAGTTCCGGGCATCGTTTGCCAAACATTGCTGGGTACAAACTCAGGTGCATGCGGGTTCATAACTGTGGGAGGTCCAAACCCACTCTGTTCCATAATAGGAGCTTGGTATCTCAGAAAGCTATCTTTCATGGGGTGAGAATGATTTTTTCTGTAGTATAAAGGTGACCTGGGTCCACAGGGAACTCGAGCAGCAACTGGAGGCCCAACAGGCTCTGCAAGCATGCTTTGACTGGCTGTTACATCATAAACACTGGTAACTGCAACTGAACTTATTTGAGGGTTCATGTAGAGTGCTCCCGGACTGAATGGTTCAGCTGATGCAGATAGCTTACTCCCCTTCGTTTCTCCAGGCTTTTCCTGATTAGAAGAAGCTGCCTTATCAAATTCAGTAGCAGTTTCTTCTGATTGATTTTCACTATCATGAGTTCCTTCATTTTCATCATCATCTTCTGCTACATCATCAACAACAGAGATATTGTTTCCAACATCCACCTTTGGTGTCTCAGGTGGGATGGTGCACATCTGCTGTTCAGTTTTTTCCTCATTTTGTTCTTCTACCTTCTCCTGTAATGGCTTTAGAACTGTACCTGGAGGTGCTACAGCTACTTCCTTGTAAGAAAGAGATTTTGAAGCAATGGCACTGAGATTTGCCAGAGGGGAGAAAACTTTGGAAACAGAAGCTTGAAAACTAACTGAATTCCCTCCAGGACTCAAGCTACGGGACTTTGTTTGCTTTGCTGGCAACACCTCTTTTATAATGTTCTTGGAGGCTGTTTTTCTCAAAGGTGAAATAATTTCTCGCCTAGAGCCACCCTCTCTACCATTTGAATATTCAGAACTGTTTACATTGAGCTTTGCAAGAACTGGACGCTTCCTTCCAGACTTCTTCCCAGCAGCATTTCCTGACCGACCCTTCGAATTGGCTTCTTGCCACCCTTCATCGGTAGTTGTCTCTTCAACAACTTCACTTGTGGTTTTTGGCTCAATTCTGGTAATATCATCAGCTTCTTCTGGTTCCTCAGAATGAATGGAAGCCACCATTCCTACTCCATTACTATCTGCAGTACCAACAGTTTTCTCTGAGACATCAAAGAGTGCAGCACTATCTGTTACTAAGTCATGGTGTGTATCATGGATTTTATCACTGATCTGTAGTACCTGCCAAGTTTTTAAAAGCAAAAAATGTCGAATATTAAAAGTTGAGCAGGACAAAGAAGGGTGAGATAAAAGAATTCTGAGCTATAGAAGTCGTGAAAGAAGCAGAGTGGAATGCAAAGATCAGCAAGTAAACCAAATAAGGATACACCAATAGAAGATAGTAACAAGAAAATTATTAAAAACTTCAAAGACAACCTCATGCTCAAGAAAGAGCAAAATGTTCTACGCTCTTAGTTAAATGTCACTCAACCAAATAAGGTCGTTGTTGGCTCTTGTACTTTTTCAAATAAAGATCTTATTGGATTCTTTATGACGAGATATTTTGAGTTAGCAGGTCAAAATAATATCTACCTTGGTGTTTGAAATGGTTCTTTGTTTTGTCAGTGTCAATCTAAGCACCAAATAAATGTCACTTGCACTAGTCCTAGAGCAATGTTTGGAATATAAAATGCTTTGGCTGTTTGACTTGAACTTATCAGAGCTGTCACACTATCTAGCTGCTTTCCAGTGAAATGGTCCACCCATTTCACTTAGCAGGCCCAATCTTTGCTATCCAAAGAGGGCCCAGACAATTAGATTAAATCCCCAGATATATATAGGTCATTATTAAACCAAACATTAGTTTTCACTTATAACTGGAGGATCAAATAATCTGAAACAAAATCACTTCACAGCAATTTCATGATTGTTTTTTAAAACTTATGACAATGTAGCCAGAAAAATCTAGTACCTTGGCACGTCGCTGCTTCCTATGTACATCACTTCCTTTAGAATCTTGATCAGGACTAATGTAATCGAGGAGATCTGATACACTGCAATAAATGATTAAAGGTTTTGGCACCGCAAGAAATAATGATATAATGGAATAACTAGTAAGTTGGGAATACCATATTAATACCTAAGATGACCTTTGCTTGCAATGGATGCATCTGGTTTTGGAGTTCCGTTTCGTGCTGCTTCTTGCTGTTCTAAAGCTTTTGATTCAAAATATTCAAGCCAAGCAGCAGCATCCTTCAAAATAAAAAGCAGTTCATAAATAGTGTAGCAATGATAATAGGAAGAAAAATAATCCTTCACTTCAAACTTCAAGTGTTTTGATTGTGGATCTCAATAACCACCTTAAGCAACAGAATGGCCAAAGATGCACAAAATTGCCTAGCCAATTGGTATAGACAGTCATGACTGTTGTATTTACCTGAGTACGAAGGTCATCTAGTCCAAGTTTTGCTCGGAGTATCTTGAGTGTAGTTTGCTCATGTTGAACACTTAAAGAATATGCTTCCATCAATGAAAGAGCAATGGCAATGGCATGATAGCTTGCAGCCGTCTGTCAGGAGGAAATTAAATGAAAGGATTAAGCTATGAGAAATTACACATGTATGATTTTGTTGATAGACAAACATAAGCATAGACTTAGAGAGATAAACAAAGACAGACAAGAGAGAGACCTGTATGTGATCTGCTCCTAATAGTCTCTGGTTGCACTTAAGAGCTTCATGTAGATATCTGAGAGCAACATGAACATTTCCCATGCCTTCTTCCATCATAGCCACATTTATATATGTTGCAGCAGTGTTTGGGTGAGACAATCCACAGGTAAAATGAAGAAGGAATAAAGCACGGTTTACATATCTGTCAATAATGCATTAAATTTGTCAAGAGTGCAAAAGAAAGGACTGAAAGAATTAAGCTGATTAAGTCTATACTACTAGAGTCACCATAATCAAGGGGCCTATAGAGGAAAATCACAAGAAATATTACTCTTAGCAGTGCTATTGATTGCAGCTAAGAATTATAGAATGAAATCACAAACATAAGCATTTTGGAAATTAAATGCAAGCCAAACTGGAATAATCTCCAACTCACTTCAAAGCCATTTCAATGTGCTGAAGCCGATAATAAAATACAGAAAGATCCCCATAGCTTTTCATCGTATCTGGATGGTCAAGACCAAGCTCTCTCTCATTAATATCCAAAGCTTTCTGTTGATATATAGTTGCCTAAACAAGAAGAAGAAACAATTAGATTATAAATTTTCTCAGTTATACCCAGTTTAGTTAAACTTAATAGACAAGATTAGACTGAATGGCATAAATGGTCTAGATAACTACAATGGATAAAAATTTTGAACAATTTCATTTAAAATGATAACCTATTATCTGAGTTGCATAACTTCTTAAAAGATATAGTTTCTCAAGTAAGCAGTCTTGTAAAGGCAAATTTGGGTTTAACAATATATAAAAGAAGTAGCAATAGTTATGAAACCGAGTTTAAAAATCCCACACTATATTTTACTTTTCTATGATACAAGCAGAGGAACATGTGAATGATACTCGGAAAATCTCTCACCACCTCCTTTGCTTTCAACCTTCTCTAAAAGGAGACTGGTGAACTGAATTCAGTTTCCTATATCTTAAGCTGACATACAATAGAAAGTTTTGATACCTGGTTGAAATCTCCTGTATGGTAGAGAACCACGGCAAGAAGACTGTAAGCACTTGCAGTAGTTCGATGGTAGGGACCACATACAGCTATCATCTTTGCCAATGCCTTCAAAAGCAAGTAAAAATCCTTTCTCTTACTATAGATGCATTGAGAAAATACTTGATTGATTACTGCTCTATTCTTGTTCTTTTTTCTTTTAGTTTAGAGAGAGAGAGCCACTAAGAAAACTTTTGGCAGGTCTAAGAGGGAGAAGAGATTTTCCTTTCTGTTGCTCTTGATTGCTTTCCTTCTCAATTTTAAACCAAACAAGAGGAAATATAAAAGAAACAAGATAAAAATCTTATCACTCTCTTTCTCTTCCCTTCTCCTTTTCTAAACATAGGACATATGAATTAATTGTAATAATAGATTGAATGGGAAAATACCTTGGTCCCATAATTAACCGCATCCTCTAATTTTCCTTTATCAAGAGCAGTCTTGGATGACTCTAACAATGTTCGGCCATCAGCAGAAGAACATCCTACATGCTGTAAATAATTACAAGACGAGCATGGTTATATTGAATCCAACTAGCTGGCTCATTGAGACAATAACAATGAAACTAGAAAAAGAACTTGGAGGAGAGAGAGAAAGAGATCCACCTTACAGACAGGATACATGCTAATAACATCACACATCCTGAAGGGTTCTGGGCATTCCATATCATAATCCCTAGGAACCAACTCTAACCCAATCTGAGAAAAAAAAATCAGTAAAACTCAGCCTTTGACACACTCAGAAACTGAAAGCAGTCAACAATAGAGAGTACCTTATGGCAAAGTCCTCGAAGAATTGATAGTTTTCTTAAATGCTGGAACTCATCTCTCAGTGTCCAACCAAATTTTGCAGCAAGAACCTTTCTTAACCACCCCAGTTTTAGAAAATAGTCATCATTTGCATTTTGGTCATTGTCTTCCCCTCCACTATTTCCAAGTAAGAAATTTAAGGATGAAGCTATAGCGGCAGGTAAGTCCTCAAATTTGTCAACAGATGCAACAACTGCTTTGAGTACATGTTTGAAAGCTCGAGTAACCATCTCATGGATGCACAGTGATTGTATGTGAGGTAGCTTCTCAGCAAGTTCAACCTAACTTGTACAATGACATCAGAGTCAACAAAAACAGCAAATTGTACTCTTGGGTGTGTGCTATTCAGTATTTTTCAAGGATAAAACTGCATGTCTTAGGAAATTAAAACATTACTTGAAGACTATGCCAATGAGCATGGATTCCAGAAGAATAATAATCACTAGCACAAAAGGATATCCAAGAGAACCAATTTTATAGAGAGAATTTCCTCACCACACAACCCAAAGAGCGCATCTGTAGTCCCCTTAAATGCATGAAGTCAGTTAGCGTACGGCCATCAACAGGAGAAAGTTCAAGTGATCCAAAGTCTGTTACCTAATAAAGTATAAGAGTTGGTTCATGAACTGTGCACAAAACCCAAAAAGTACAGTGTTTTGAAACATAACAGCATGGATGATTGAATAGTACCAGCTTTGGTAAAGCAATGTCATCATAATACTTGTATGCCATCTTAATGAGCTCATCAGCTGACTGTTGCAAGAAGCAAACTGAAAGAGTGAGTTCAAAATACAAGAAAACATATTAATACCACAAGAACAATAATAGTTATAAAGAAAATAATAAACGTATGGATTGCACGAAGAATATCCATGTAAAACCACACAAATATACAGCACAGGGAATGAATGCAAAACTTTGAGTAAAAACTAACAAGTAAATATAGGGAAAAATAAAGAGTGCGACCAGAAACCTTTAAGTGAAGACCAGTTCCACTTTCTTCAAGACGTGAGTAGGCTTCTTTAGAAATCAGGTTCTTCAATTCCAATTCACTGCTGGATTCACCATTGCTTTCGTGACCTAGATTAGACTTCACATCCATACTGCAAGACTCAGAATTGTTCTCTTCCTTGTCAATTGCAGTAGTTACGTTACTTGGTTTTTTACCCCTTTTCTTTAAAAATTTAAATTGCTTTCCAAGACCTCTGACAGCAGGTTCAGCCTCACAATCATTGTCAGGGCCTTTTGAATTACCATCCATTGACGATTCCTGCTTTTGTAGATATTGCACCCAACAAGAACCAAGTTCCCATCTTATAGACCTTTCAGGAGCAACTGACTTCTTATCTAATTTGGTCAAACTCTCTTTAATTACTCTCTGGATAAGACATCTAGAAGCTTCTGAATCATTCAAATTGGATTGATGTAACTGGCCTCCTCCAGTTAATTCTGCAGTGCATGACTTGTGAAGTAAAACCCTTAGGCTGCAATAAATTCAATACTTAATCACTACATAGTGGCCTTATTGTTCTCAGGTAAAACATAGTAAATCATGGAAGTTTAGCAAAACAGATGGATCAATAGTACATCCCTTTTAATTTATTAGGACAACGCTGTTAGAGGTCATTATGCATCAAATCTAAAAACAATTGGCAATAACTGGAGAGAACTTCACTACGGGGCCATAACAAAACCTTCAATATAACACAACTTAACACTCTCCCTCACACATAGCCCTATTCTAACAACTGAAAGAAGTGCGCTTACCACGTGGACAACAAAAGTAGGCCACTAAATAAGATAACAAATAACAAATGACAAATGAGGAACCAATAACCTCGACTCTTGATAACATGTTAAGCTACCACCCAAAAATGAATTGGCAATGGTAAAGGCTCAAAATAAATATAAGGCTAGACCTGGCAATTCGTGTTTTCGTGTCTTAAACGTATCAGACACGATTAGACACGAAACACGTTAAGATTATACATGAACATGACATGAATACTATTCATGTCTTAAATCTGAAACACATACAGGTATACGTTTAATAACCGTGTAACATGACACGACACGATTAACATGTTTGTTAAACGTGTCAATCTATAACACGACACAATTAATAACACGTTTAACACAATTAAATAAAAATATTTACAATTAAATATAATTTTATTATTTAAATTTAAAATCAATAATTATAAAAGCATTTATAACAAAACGAAATAACAATAACATCAAATATAACAAAATAAAATTTAAAATTAAGGTTTAGGCAGGACATAATTACATTATTATCTTTATAAAATTTAAAATCTTATTAAAGTAACTGTTCAAAATTATTTAAATAAGGCTAAAATAATCTTTGACTATTAATTTTTAACAAGTTGATAAAAGTGTCATGTATACACGTTTAAACACGATAACACGATTAAACACATTTATACGTTTAAACATGATAACAGGATTAACACGATTAATTAAACGTGTTTAAATACGTTTTAAACGTGTTACTCGTGTCTTATCGTGTCAGACACGATTAAACACGAAACACGTTCAGGCTAAACCCAAACCTGTTTAACCCTGTGTCTTCCCGTGTCGTGTTAACGTGTTGTGTCTAAAATTGCTAGGTCTATATAAGGCCACAAGAAATCCCCAAAACCTACTTGACTTGTGTAAAAACCACTCAACAGATGGAATATCTCTTGCATGCACTCATTTTGTATTCTTTTGTCCATTCATCAAATTCTTAACTGCAAATATAAGACTTCCCTCACTTGAGAAAATCAATTGACATCCTGTTTTATCGTCTTCTCATGGCAGAAAAGCGTTGATGTCTCATTTCAATTAGAGACCCTAGCAGATAGCAGGCAACTATAAAGCTTAATTAACCAGAATGGATGGCAACAATTATATGTAATGGACCATGATTAATACAATGTGAAAGGTAATGAGAACAAAGTAATCATGCCACTATCATGCCCTACCTAAGGATCCAACTAGCAATCGTGTGCAATATACATGAAATAAAAATGAGAGCATCAGCTGAAAGTACAGACCTGTTAATATTAAGAGCATTAGCTCCCCCATCTGGTTGATCATCAATTTCAATGTCCTTAGCATCACACTTTTCCTTCTTCACATCACCAACAACTTTTACAATTGCAGTGTACCCACAATGTCTAACAATGACAGTGCCCAATGAGGAAGTATCCTGCAAGATGGTTATTATGTTGCTTAGTGAAAGCAACAAATTTGAACTTGAAAAGGCTTTTGAATTGAAACTTCCACCATTACACATAATCTTGAATTTTCATCCAACTAACAAGGTTTGGCCATATGTGATAAAGATCAGCAGACTACACAAAAGACAGTTGATGAGTTTAGTTTTGAGGCACTGGAAGAGAAGAACAAAGAGGATATTGATTGAGATAGTAAAAAGCATATGCCAGCATCTGGTAGTGTGAAAATAAGGTTTTAATTGGTTCTGTCATTGGAAACAGGGTGACGTAGGTATTTTTGAGTTGAGATTTCCAGGAAAAAACTAGAACATGATAATAACATTTGTTTCTGGACAAATTTATGCATGAGTACACGGTCTGATATGCATAGACACATATTTGTACAAAGCAAGAAGGGGGCGTGAGGGAAATAAAAGTGACCAAAGTGAGTCTCAGGTGACAAATCAGATTGTTGTTAGAAGTTGCAATGGAAGTAAAAAGAACAAAGAATGATATTGACGACAAAGGAGTAGCATGCAAAGCATGGACAACATATATTCAGAGAGACGAGGGAGGAGAAGAAAAAGGGGGGAGGGGGACAGAGATAACTAGCCAATGCCTCGGTCATTTTTGGGAAGAAATTAAAATTCATTAGAAGAAGAGGAAGAAAAGAATACAATGATGTAGACAACATGGAGAAATGGGACTTACATGAACAACTACACTCTCATCTGCAGTTATCCCTTTAAGTAAATTCCTTTGAGCAATCTCCTCGGCAGTCATGTCAGATGATTGACAGCCAGTAACTTTTACCTCAGGTTTAAAATTTGCATCTCCCAGATCATGTTTTACTATAATGGACAAGTCACCTACATGATCCTCATGAAGGACTGAGTTCAGATTGCAATTTACAGTGTCCTTGGTATTTAACCTGGAATTCATAACACGCTGTATCGCAGCAACAGCTTTAAAGATTGAGACATTAATAAATCGGCTATGAAGCAAAAAGGCCTTGCGATCTCTAACAATTCTCTCCTCCTCAGTTTTGCATGGAAGGCTAGCCAATATCGCAAAATCTGTAGCCCATGGCCAAAGATCATATTCACCATTTCTTCCCTGGCCTCCTCCATTACCACCCCAGAGTTCATCTTCTGATGGAAAAGAGGCGATGTTTGATGGAGACTCAGCAACAGGGGGAGGGACAAGCCATGTATTTGAACGAAATCCATAGGGAAGATTACCAAACTGGAAGCAAAAATGCATTAAGAAACATCAGAGCTTGCAAACCTTGCTTTTCGAGATGTCATGTTTTGCAAGGTATAATAACCTATCATGTAAATAAACAAAAGGTCACCTTATTGTGTTCTAGAAAAGCCTTCATAAGGGTTTCATATGCCTGCATCAATTACAAGAGCATATCAATCACAAATTAACTAGTTAAACAAATTAAAATAACAAATAAGCAAGACATGATAGCTACAACAAAAAGTCATGTCAGGCCACAACAAACTTTACACTGGTCAGTTAACAGATTTGTTACGTCACTTGACCAAAGTTGATCCAAATTTATAGTGCAAGAAAAGCCAACATGGTGAGACTTCTCTTTCTCTTTAGGCATTTCCCTTAAGATAAAAAGCATGTGAGTATTCATCTATGATAACATACAAACAGACACAACCTACAAGCTGCGCAAAATATTGGCATGAACTGTTAATATAAAAACACTGTTCAATAGTTGACAATCAAGGATGGCAGTGGGTCAGGTCTGATCAGATTTTATTTTTGTTCACTAGAATCCTACCTGAAAAATACATACTCAGCCAGACCAAACCTGACCCAATTAGAGTTGTTAAATTTTATCACCACTACCAACCTGCCTACAAAACGATGGACCTAAATCTCACCCAAACCAACCCTCATTCAAAGTCAACATTTGCAAACATAACCAATCTTTTTCTTCCCTCTAGAAAGGGGGGACACTAGAATTTCAGAACATATTAGAAGCTGCTTAACAAGATTTAAATTTTGCAAACAATATAAAGCAAGCAGAGAGTTCTTCACCCTTGTCTAATTTGGCAATTGGTTCGAATCAATATATATGCGATGCTCATGGAAGCTTAGCAATTAAAGACAAACAGTACCCACATTGGCAAAGGCTTGACTGAGATTTTGCAAAAGATCTAACAAACTGTGGCTCTGGAAAAAGTGCTTCCCATAGAACAAAACCCTTTTGCTGATGCAACCACCTGTATTAGCTTCCCATTGCAGATTTTTATCTGCACACAATATTACATTTGCCATATCAGTAAAAGCAGTAGCAGGAGAAATATGAAATCAACAAAATCAACAGCATACAGAAAAGGAAAGTAAGTTAAAAATACAACAAGAACAACACTATTAAAGTATCATCATTTAACTGTCTAGAGTACGTATCAACGACTTAAGAGGTCAAAATAACAAAATAGAGCAAATGAGTTTCTTTTGGCAAAAGAGAAAGAAGAAAGAACATTTTCACCACTTCACTGCAATGCATTATTATAATATTAAGAACCAACCACAACTATCACCATGAGCTGCAGTAAAGCCTCAAACAATATTTGGGAAACAATTGCACCAACAATATATGCTCTATATCAAGGCTTACACATTGTAGCAAGCACCAGTAAATGCAAATGTATCTCGCCAATAAGAACATATATTAGCATGCAGAGTGAGATTATACCTGCATTCCAAAATAGTCTCCATCACGCCTCTCTTCTACATCCTTTGGGTCACATCTCCTTAAATCTGCAAAAGTCAAACTTAGTAAATGTAACAAAACGAACTTTATTAATTAAAAAATGAAAAAAAAAATTGAAAAAAAAAATACAAAACAGAAATTACATTTCTTCTCATATAGAAAAAAAAAAGGGAAAAAAGAGTGAGGGTAATCACATCTTTTTTGTTGCTTACTTACAAGTTTAAGTTTCAAAAATACAACTCAATTAAATCTAACAAATAATAGTGCACTGAAATTTTTTCTTCATTTGAAAGAACTAAATTTGTTTTCTTCCATTTGTAGTAACTATTTTTGGTATGAAAATTTTTACAATAGAATTCATTTCCTTTTGCGAATCAATCCGCATCTTATGATATAATTCATTTGAATATTGTATAGTGAACACTATAGAATTAAATCCTTTTCAAAGGCTTCAAACATAGTAAACCATGACATTTAGATGTAATGTCCATAGATATTAATTTTATTTATTCCAAGCAGATGATTGGCTCCTCTGTAAACAACATTTATAAGATCATTTCTCAATTCCCAAAATATTCTTAGAGACACACAAATGTTAAGTATGGCTTATTTTAGACTCGGAAAACTAAAAAGTAAATACGTCCATTTTTCTATCTCGTTCCCCTCGCTACGTCTGGCAAGAAAATATATATATATAATATACATGGCACTTACTGAGAATGGGAGGAGTGAGGTGAGAGAAAGAGAAGAAATCGTAAAACTCCGATAATTTCGGGGTAGGATGAATGGCGGCCATGTCCATGCTCTCCGAGACCGCCGCCGAAACCGACGTCGTTTGTGGTGTCGGTTCAACTCCTCCATCGGACGGCGAAGGAGGAGGTGGAGCGCTGTTGTTGGGCTGCTGGGCCCTACGATTGATCTTTTTGGATTTTGAATCGGACGACGCTGATGTTGATTGTGATCGGATTCGTTTGGGCCTCGAGAACCTGGTGGTGCACGCTACGATGTCGAGGAGTCTCCGCACGTGAGTCACCGCCTGACATTCCTCGGTGTAGTCCTCTGCGTCACAGTGGCAGGAATTGAAATTAGTGCACAAGTGTTTGGTCAATTTAATATTTGTCCGTTTAAACAATTAAGTTCTCTCGTGCAAAACGTGTCTTTTTAATTTTGACTAAACAATGTCAGTTTGCAGACTTGCAGATTTGCTTTTTATTTTTCCACTTATTTTTTATTTTATAAAAGTAAAATATAAACCTCTGTATAAATATAAAGAAAATAATATTTTTAAGGTCTTAATTACAAAATAATTATATCAAAAATAAGAAAAATAATATTTTCTAAACTTTGACTTTAACCTCATACGTTTTCGATTTTACAAACAAATAAATTAAAAAAAAATTGAGCAGTATGGTTCACAATATCAAATAAATTAAGAGGGAGATCTAAGAATAATAATTTCATAAAATCCAAGAAAAAAAATGAAATGAGTTAGTGAATGTAACCATAAATATTTATTTGGACAATTGGAATTTGATATTTCCCAACAATAATAATAAAATAGAAGTTATAATATTGAAATGCAAAAGGAAGATAGATTAGAATATAGAAGAGTGTGCCAAAATTAATGCAATTGTCCTGCCAATAAACCAACAATGAGCTGATCATAAGAAAGATTGGATGTCTCCAGGGGATCATCTCTGGCATCCAATATATGATATATGATTACTAAGGCTAAATAAATTTCAGAAATTTATGGTATATATTTAGCTGATTAACCCATGGTTTAATATAATATGAACAGTTCAATGCCCTCAATGGGATCATGGAAAAATTAATGATTATTTGTATGTTGGACAAAAATGTTCATTAAATTTAAAGTAAAGGGTATCTCTAGTGGTGGTTGGAGGGTAAAGAGAAAAGACAAGCTCCTCAGTCATTGCTCTTCTCAATAGGAAAGTTACATTATTAATTAATGGTTCCGACTCAAGATTTGTCTGTCTCCTACATGTGATCCTGGCCCCTCTTTGCTTGTCCCCCCCCTCCCCACTCAATATAAACAAATATCTTTAAGAGAGAAACCCATTCTTCAGGTGTCAAGTAGCTGCTTTGTTATGCAAGTTGCCTTCGTATAGAGACAAAGAATAAAACAGATGGAGGGGATTGATCTTTGACTAAAGTATATCAAACCCTTATCAGAAAGGACCATCATAGCACAGTTTAAGTTTTTGGTAAGGAGCTTAACCTACCTTCAACCATTTTGAGCAAACATGGTTTCAGAGTAACAACTTCTATTCTGTCATTCAATCTCTTCCCTTTGACCTAACCATTTAAAGAAAAACAAAAACCCAAAAAGAATAGTTGCATTACAGTTCAATTGATTAAATAATTATTAGGAAAACATATTGAAAGTTAAGAGATGCTCACCTCATGAGCTAAAGAATAGTTTGTAAGGTGGCACGTCTCCACATGGGAAGCCAACAGCCTTTTTACATCAAGTATCTTGTCAGTGGAGATACCCTTCAAGGAATTTCCCATAATTTGGTGATTTAAGCTTATTAGTATTCAGTTTAATTCCATTGAAGAAATGCTAATGCTTTTCAATGGAAATGCAATCATTATAGTACTTTAAAAGAAGGGGAAAAAAAGGGGAGACAAATATAAAGTGAAAAGAAAGGGAAAAGCAAAGCATACCTTGAGTATAACTTGTGATTCATAAGGAGTAATGACAGTGATGTCAAAAACAGTTGGAACAACTACAAAAAGATCAAGAAAAATATATAGGAAAATCAAAAGAATCAAAGTGAAAAAAAGGGTATCAGAAACATGAGATATTCTTTCTTTACTGTAACTCAAAAAGTTTGCTTACCTTTCTCCTCTTTCTTCTTCTTCTCTGCTTTTGCTCTATTCGACTTGCCCCTGCCAGACCTTGGGGCCATCTTCTATCACCCTTTTCTAAGAACAGTTATTTTGGCAAAAAAGTTTCAGCTACTCAACAACTTCACTGAAATTGCAGCTGAATCTCAGTTCAAAGTCCTCAGCAATGCGTTGAGCTGTTGACTACGTGCAGAAAATAGAGAAGAGAGATATGAGGGATGCCAAGAAAAGGAAAGACCTTTTTCCTTTGAAAGGGAGGAGCTAGGAAATCTTGTGAAAAGGTGTGGGAGATGATAAGATAAGGGCTTTTCAGTAGTCTTATGGATTTGTGAGCAATCCTAGCCTCTACTTGTTGCTAAAAGCTTGATTGCTTTGCCCACCCAGCCCCCTCTTCCCACCCTCTTTCTCTTTCTAGATTGACGTACGCCATGTGATTTCGAGAAGTGCCCCCTCATCCAACTTATTATAACACATTAGGACAAAGATAGAGCTGTGGTGGGGAATGGAAAAGGAAACGACCGTTGAGAGAAGGCCACGTGGAGGATTGTTGGTGGGTTGCAGGTCGTGACCGAGCAGCTTTGTTTTATCAGACGTTGGTTTCGCCTTCCCACTTGAGGGCTGAGGCCAGGATGGGAGGGGGAATGGGGTGGGCTAGGTTAGGGTATACTATGCAAGATCCTATAGAGATAAAAAGAGAGAGAGATTGTTAATTTTTGGCACATTTAAGAAGGGATCTTAAAGGACCTTGGCCACCTTGACCTTTGGGTGGGTGTGACTTAATTCTTCAAAATCCCTATTTTGTCACATTTTAAGTGGTAATTAGTGCTTGGATTTAGTCACTTTAATCATTCCGTATTCCAATTCTTTTTCCCATATATCTTTTTACCTTAAAGTTCATATGGGAATGTTTAAATATTGTTTTCAATAGATAATTAAAATTAACTATATACAAATATTTTAAAAATTTTTAAAAGTTACATTATAAGGTATAACGTTTTTTAAAAAACGTTCTGAATTTCTACGACTAATTACATGATTAAATCTCATGGATAAATCAAGTAGTTTAGGGTATATATGTTTGAAGTTGTCTGTAAAATTTGTATTGAAGTGATAATAAACAAAATCCTCACAATTGTTAAATTTAGAGTATATTAGATATATAAATATAATAAGAATTTTTATATTTATAGTCAATTAATTTTAAATTAAATGTTTATCTAAAAAATTTAATATGGTATCAAAGTAAGTACTATCCCTATTCTTTGACTTCTCTATGGACAAGGTAGCCATTAATCGCATGTATTTACATTACCTTTAGCACAATATAGGTCCATAATCCCTACAAATGAAGAGACATGCCTCACGTGATAGTTGCCATAATCTTATCGATTATGTATTAAAGTAAAATTGAATATTTAAATGTTTGAACATTTAAGTGTTTTACATCATTTTCAACACGTGCCAATGTGGCAGTGGACTCAATATGTACTAGCGTGACAATAAGCGTTTGATGAGGTCAAATTCAATGACATGGCACTTTTTTATTCAATATATTTATAATTGATTTTGTAAAAATAATTTATTTACTATGTATTTTCCTTAATTATTCATACTGCATATTAAAATCTTAAATGTTTTAACAGAATGATATGCTTAATATGTTTTTTCGTTAATTATTCGTATTGCATATTGAAACCTTAAAACTTCAACTAAGAAGATGGCAAATTCACTATGTTTCTCGATCTACTCACAAGTCGATTGATGATCTTATCAAAGAAGAAGTTAACGTAATATATATATATATATATGTAAATAATGTTGGTTAATTAATTAATCCGATGAATTTTTTTATTTGAATAGATTTTTCTATGTTAATATGAAATGGACAAACTTTTCATGACTTAGTCATGAACCATGATGCAATGGGCAAAGAGAATAATGACAAAAGGACTTGCCAACCCCCCATAAATTCATAGGCCTAATAAAAACACATGCATGGGGAAAAAGTTGCGTACAATATTGTTCAACCCACAATGTTGCTAAGATAGGCAGTTTTGAAGCATGTGGTAAAGATGTAGGAAAAAGGTGAAGGGTGTTAGGAGTGGAAAGTAAATGGGAGTGGGTGGTGACAAAAATGGATTTGATTGCTTTGAGAAAGGGGAGAATCCTACATATGTTAGGACTCTTGGTTGGTATATCCAACTAAAAAAGTTTCCAATACAGAGAAATTGAGATTGTCCAATTAGAAATCATATAATACATCTTAATCATTCTATAGTAATAGAACATATGCATTTGATTATGACAATGACGATGATCATGGTAGTCCTTTTCAATGTTAAAGGTTTTTTCGTCTTAAATATCAACGCTTCAAAACGTTTTGCACATGATCATTGACAATTCTAACCTTAAACCCTCAACCCTAAACTAGATAGCTCACACGCAAATGATTGGATATATGGTTTATACTTTAAAATATTACAAAATTATAATATTTGATTGATATTGCTTTAGGTTAATTAATAAGGTTAAGTTTTTGATCAAGTTTTTAAATTAAGTGATTCCTTTTTTTTTGGGATATCCCTTAAAATTAAGTGATGACAATTTCAATCCAAGTGACATAGAAGTATTGATTTTAACCCCACAAGTTTGCTTGTGTAATGCACGATAATATTAAAATTAATAAGTCTATAAAAAAAAAAATTATCCCATACACTTTCAATGAAGTTTTTAAATTCTACCAATAGAGTTGGGGGTTGACACATACAGTATTAGAGTATATTTTAAATCTGTTTGTGGAGTTTAAAACACATTATAATAATACCTATAAAATATATATAAAAAAGCATTTATCTCGAATTCAATTCGGTCAAAATACTTCAACAGTCTCAATACTCATGCATTTTCTTTACTCTAATCTCTCTATATAAAATCACAACAATTTAATTTTTTAATTTTAAAAATTATTTTAATTTAATCCATTTAATATTTTTCTTTCAAAATTACCTTTCACAAAACTAACGTGACGCTGATATGGCACCGATTGCTAACATAACATGTGAACTCAAAATCTCATGCAAACACAACCAGCTCCTTACCACTTACTTTTATTTCTTTTCTTCATTCATTTCCTCTCTTTTTTCTTTTTGTTTCTTTTTTTTCTTTCTCTCTCCTCTCACCTTCTCTTTTAAGAGCCAGTCGCTAATTATTGGACGTCATCATCAATTACTATTCATCAATCACTGAACGTCGGTTGTCGGTCGACGATCACCGGATATGCCATGCCATGCTATGACTATGTCTTTTTTAACAACTAAATTATTACGATTTTGAATAAAAAAATTAAAGTATATAAAATATATGAGTATAGGGACTATTAAGGTATTTTGACTAATTCAATTTGAACTAAATTAATCCTATTTGGTTTGGGAGTTATTAATTACTTTAGTTCATAATACTTAAGATCTTAAAATAGGTTAAAGAAATTGACTTAAGATTTCGTTGAATAATATTAAAGTAGTATTAATTAAAATCCATCTACCTTATGCCCTTTCAATTCTTGATTCAAAGGTAGGCCTTTTTTTCAGTGCATGATTGCTTTAAAGAATTATTCATTTAATATATCAAGCAATTAACATTCCAATATGACTGATACCATATAGTTCGTGGAATGCATGGGTGATGGGTCGACATCACCTATTTATTAAAGCTAATATATATGATTCAATGAAGAGCGATGGAGAAAGTGTAGACTATACTATAGTTTTATTAATTAGGTTTGTCATATCTTAATGGAACCACAAAGTTATGAATTTGAAGAAGTATAATACGTTGCTGTTTCAAAATTTTTTAAATTTTTATTTATTTTTTAATGTATAATGTTTATAAAAAACTCTAAATTATTTAAAAAATTTTAAATAAGTTTTATTTTTTTATTAAATTCAATTAAGTTCATGTATTTTTATTTTAAGTTATAGAAGTTTTTATAATTAATAATTGATTAATTATTATTAACCAAAATATTACTTGTCATTTTATATTTATGTGACTTTGACATGACATTGATGAGAACCATAAAAAATAACACATGATTGCATTATCATATCTCATGTCATCATCAATTATGAAATATTAACATATTATATCATAATTATAATACATTAGCATGTCTCATGTCAGGCAAAAAAGAATGACGGATGGTAATTTTGATTAAATTAATAATTAATTATAAAAATTTATTTGATTTAAATAAAAAATATAAAGATTTATATGACTCAAAATAAGAATATAACATTTAATTGAATGTAATAAAAATATAAATTTTTTTTAAATAGTTTAAAATTTTTAAATATTATATTATTTTTTATTAGTAGTGTATAAAAAATATAATGATAAATTAATATTATCTACTATTTTTCTTACTCTTTAATATCATAAAAAATATTTAAAAATTTAAAAATTATAATTAAATTAAAAAAAGTTTTGATTTTGAGATTTCTATTTAAAAGTAATTGTAGCTATCATTAAAATAAAATTATATCTTAAGTTTTGATTGATAATCAGATATTAATTAATGAAAAAAAAACTTAAAACAATTGATTAGTAGGTATATTTATTACACAAATATATTAGTAAATTAATTTTTATGAATTGATATATTGAAAAAAATTATAATACATAAAATAATTTCTAAACTATTTTTAAAAAATTTAAATTAATCTTTATTTTTTATTATATTTAATTAAAATCATATATTTTTTATTTTAAACTAAATAAGTCAATTAACGATTAATTAATTATCATTAATCAAAACAACTTTTGTTATTTTATTATTATTTGATGTTAAATTTATTTGATTTAAAATAAAAGATGCATACTTAATTCAATATAATTAAAAATAAAATAATTTTAAAACTATTATAAAAAAATCCATTTTCAATATATCTATATCACTGGTAAATAAAATAAACTAGAAAGTTAATATTTAAAGAATTTTCCGAATTTCAAAATTTTGTAGTCAACACATTTTGACTGTCCCCTCCGTCTGCTCCTTTACTGACCGTCTCAAGTCTCAAGATCAAGGAGAAAGCGCGCGAAAGCTAGAGCAAAACCCTAGCAAAGCAATGCCGGAGCTTCCAGAGGTAGAGGCGGCGAGAAGAGCGATAGAAGAGAACTGTTTGGGAAAGAAGATCAAGAAAGCTATTATTGCAAATGACTCTAAAGTCATCGAAGGAGTCTCCGCCTCGGACTTCGAGTCCTCTCTCTTAGGCAAGACCATCGTCTCCGCTCACCGGAAGGGCAAGAACCTCTGGCTCCGCCTCGATTCCCCTCCTTTTCCTTCTTTCCAGTTCGGTACGCTTCGCTTCAGAACCCTAGAAATGCGATTCTTTTACGTATGAATTCATTTTGTGCTCATTTTCTTTAGAATTTTGAACTTTATATTTTTTATTAATGTGGGTTGTATCAATTTCAGGGATGGCTGGTGCTATTTATATAAAAGGTGTTGCTGTTACACAATATAAGAGGTGACATTGTTTTCCGGTTCTGTTTTGAAGTTACTTTTTACTAGTGTTAAAATACTCGTACTTTTTTATTTGTTTTTTCTGTACCTTTTTTTTTTTAGAATTGCGTTTG